CATGTGGTGCTGGGGGATTGAACCGCGGTCCCTGATGCTTTTGCTAAGCTTGTTCTAAGTAGGTGCTTTAGACCACTGAGCCATCTCTCCAGCCCCGATGGTACATTCTTTAAAGGTCAGACTTCAAAACACAAAATTGAGCAATTCGGGGCCAGGGAGATGGCTCAGTGGAATAAGCGTTTCCCTGGCAAGTGCAAGGGCCTGAGTTCAATCCCCAGTTCCGGAAAAAAAAGACTGAATAACTCCCCAGTGGCAGCATTTGATATTCTAGATAGGCAGCAATTTCCTTGGGTGAGGGACCAAAACCACCCTAATGCATCCTTTTCAGGAAGTGCTTGTTAGCCCTAGGCCAAAGTATACTTGCTCTGAAACACAGCGGATCAATATTACCTAGGACTGCACTTGTAATTTTATTGGCAGACCAGTTTTGCCCCACCTCTTGATTCTCTAATGGGTCAACATTACCTGAGACTGGCAGTCCTCTATCGTAGGTCCTATAATCTTTCAGTGTGTGGTGGTAGAATCAAACAAGTCTTGCACATGCTAAGAAAACTCTATCTTTGAATCCCATTATCTTAGCATGCTAAAGACTCTGGATCAATTCCCCTTTTTTATAGGTGTGGAGAATCAAACTCACCTCATACACTTGCCAGGCAAGTACTATGCTGCTGAGCTATATATATATATCCCTAGCCCAATCCTCACTTTTTTGGGTTTTGTTTTGTTAAATGGTATACTTTCTCTCTAGATGTGATCTCTGGATTTTTAGTTTATGCTAACACATCTGTGAAATCCTCCCACATTCCACTCAGAGCTCTAGCAGTGGACAAAGCAGAGCCAAGAAAAAGTCTTGAACAAAAAGCTTTTGTATTCTACTTAGTTACCCAGAAACAATTTTTTTTCTTTTTGGCGGAACCAGAGATTGAACTCAGGTCCTTACTGAGCCATCTCCCTGGCCCACAGAAACAATTTTTGAATAGACATACTCACCCCCATCTCATGGGGTAGTTATTTGTATCCAGTATCCCCCTTCTACCCTACCACCACCAGCACCACCACCATTGTTCTGTTACCAGGAACAAAGCTACAAAGCTAGCTAGCAATAAAACTTTTTTGTCTTTTTGAGACACAGCCTCACTATGTGTTTCAGGCTGGCTCTGAACTCCCAAGGATCCTCTTGTCTCAGTGTACCACCATGCTAAGCTCAACTGTTTAAAAATTGTTACTGCAGGCTGGGGAGATAGGTTGGTGGTCTTAGCACCTGCCTGGTATACACAAGTACCCGGGTTCAATCCCAGGTATCACACTGTGCTCGCCAGAACCCCAGCATGGTGGCACACACCTGTAATGCCAGTGTTCGGGAGGCTGACACAAAAGAATCACTAAGTCGGAAGTGTGTATTGAGAGCCTGTATCAAATAAATATATCTAAAAATTTTTATTGTATATATATATGCCTCTAAACATGAGCCCATTTTGTTTTTTGTCCTTTGAGCAACTCCCTTCCAGCTGCAAGAGTTTACCTATTTCCTTTTATTTGCAAATGATCCTTTTTTCACCTAAAAAATGACCATCTTTTTGGCCATTCCTCATAGGATCAGGCCACAATCTCACTAGGACTGAGCCATCCTCTCCCACCAAGACTAAAACTAGATATTAGGGGTGGTTCCCACCTCCCAAAACACATAAGCAATCCTCAGTTCCCAACTCTATCCTGCCTCAATTCTTTTAGCACCTGTACTCTTGCCTGACTTGAGAACAAAGAGCATATTATATCTACCTCTAACAAATCCTTCTCATGCCTGTTATTGAGGCATCCTGGAACCTGCATACTTAAAGAGGTAGGTTAAGTTCTTTATTTCAGCCCAGGGATACCTAGACCAATTACCTTCTCCATGTTTGTCAGTGAACTGAAAAGCCTGAACGAGTCTCAGAGTTTCATCTACAGAGCGGCCAACAGGAAGGTCGTTAACTGTGATCTGCCGAAGGATACCCTTATCATCAATGATAAAAAGGCCCCTGAAGTGAAGAGATCGACAGAGAAACAAGTTATTTCTTTAAAACTTCACTTTGTTAGAATAGAGAAATTGAACTCCCAAACAGCCTTACCAATACTGCATGAAAAAATGAGGAAGCAGTCTCCAGATCAGGACTCTAGCTTTCTCCAAATAGCTTCCAACTTATTGAATCATTCTCTTAATAAAATCCATTCTCCTAGCCAAGATACATACCTGAATGAGATGCCTTCATCGGCCTTTAAGACCCCATAATCCTGAGCAATGGCACGCTTGGGATCTGACACCAAAGGAATGTTCATAGGCCCCAATCCTCCTTGTTTCTTGGGTGTGTTGATCCTACAGCAACAAGCATATATTCAATCACATTCACTCAAAATCTATTAGAATATTAATTCTACCTATTCATTCCCCTTTCCCACAGTGCTATCTAACATCTTCTCAAAAAACTTCACAAGAATTTTCTAGTAGTAAGGTTAATGGCTGAAAACATTGAAGGCGGGTCACCAGTGAACATGCAGCTGCAACTCAAGCTGCTTCTCCACTGCCAGGAATAAAGGCACAGAAAGTCAACCTCTGTACTCCTTTCCCATGAGGAGCCAGAAGTCAATACTTGAGAAAGTCTTTTGCTGGGGTCAGGGAGATGGCTCAGTAGAATAAGCCCTTCCCTGGCAAACGCAAGGGCCTGAGTTCAATCCCTGGTTCCACAAAAAAAAAAGTCTTTTGCTGAGTCTCCCAGTTGATGCATATAGTCCATATGTCAAATGGACCAAAAGATTTACCATGCCAGATGACAAAAGTGAGAATCCACAGAAGCACCAATCACTTGGCAGTTAAGTTTTTTAAATTCTTCTGCCCTGTCACTGAACGCAATTATCTCCGTGGGGCACACAAAGGTGAAGTCAAGAGGATAAAAGAAGAATACAACATATTTTCCTAGAGAGAAAAAGAAAGGAGTTACAGGTTAGTCATGAAACACATTTCCATCTTTACAGAAAATAAATAAGGGCTGGCCAGATAGCTCAGTGGACTAAAGCACCTGCTTAGGCAGAATGCAGTGGCTGGGGTCCAATCCCCAGCTTGCTGGGTTTGCCCCTGTGGCACACGGCTGACACTGTGACAGAGACTAGGCATGGCACGCACCTATAATCCCAGCACATGGGAGGCTGAAAACAGGAAGATCACTACAAGTCCAATCTATATAGTCAGACCCTGTAGACCCTGTCCTAAATACACTTTTAAAAAATTTTTTAAAAAGCAAAGAAATAAGATCAAAAGATGCCCCTGGGCTGGGCATATAGTTCAGTGGTTTTAAATGCCTGTCTGGCAAGTGCAAGGTCCAAGTTTGATTCCTGGTAATAAAAGAAAAAGAGGTCTTTTTTGGTCTTTGTGAGAAAGTCTCACTATGCAGTTCAGGCTGGCCTTCAGCTCACTTTGTAGCTCAGGTTGGTCTCAAACTCAATGATCCTCCTGCCTCAGTCTCCTGGGAGCTGGGATTACAGGCCTATGTGCCACCATGCCCCACTGAGGCCTTTTATAAAGTGAATAACAGGGGGCTGAGGAGATGGCTCAGTGGAATAAGCGCTTCCCTGGCAAGCACAAGGACCTGAATTCAATCCCTGGTTCTGCAAAAAATAAAAATAAAAAATAATACAGTGAATGACAGGCACAGTAATGGCTTGATACTAAGATGCTCAATCTACATATATGTATTCCTAGCAGCTTTTATAAGCTGTTCCAGCATAAAGGCAGAATGAGAACTTAAGGTTATCTAATTAAGAAAAGCAAAAGAGTTATTCACTAGTAGTCTAATACCAATGTTTAAGAACAGTGCTCAGGGGGGCCAGGGAGATAGCTGAATGGAATAAGCGCTTCCCTGGCAAGCGCAAGGGCCTGAGTTCAATCCCTGGTTCTGAAAAAAAAAAAAAAAAACATGTTCATTACAGCTGAGATAGCTCAGAATTAAAATAACTGGATTCACCCTGGCTGCAAGGTAATGAGACCAACAAAAAGAAATCATAGTCTTTGTAATTCTCCCATGATGAACCATAGTAATGGGATAAGGTTTAAGTGATCCCATAAATCACAATAAATGTTGCCTGGACAAGACAGGGCAAGAAAAGTTTTGTAAGCAAAATGTCCAAGATCTGGGTGTGGTGGCAAATGCTTGTAATCCCAGCACTCCAAGGGCTGAGGTAGATCTTTGTGAGTTCAAGACCAGCCTGGGATATATAGCAAGACCCTATCCAAAAAATAAGAGTACTGATAGGACTACTAGTGGCAATTTTAGTCACTCAGAATACTACTGGGGAAAAAAACAAAAACAAAAACAAAAAAAAACCAACCCTGCTACTGAAATACATCTTCAAACTGTTCATGCAACCTCTCACCATACCTAACGGGCTGAGCTCCTGGAACATTTCCAAATAGTCACTTCATAGCAGCAATGTGTTAAACTCAAAACAACCAGCCCTGGAATCAACTAGAAAAATCTCCAGGGCTATGCCTAACAAGCTCTTCAAAGCCCCAACAGGTCAAACCCTACAGTGCAGACAGCAACTCCTCCTAGGCCATGACCCTGTATATTCCTGAGAGCCAAGTCACTTCCCTATGGGTACTTAACTTGTTTACTAGGAAATTTCCTCCACATGGCCCTCTCTTATTGCACTCACCCAACAATGAAGTATGATATGTACGGAAAACTAAAAGCATTCTCTAGGAACTGGTAACTATCACTAAGGCAGTGACACTTAACATTAGGATTTACACTCTAAAACATTTATTTATTTATTTATTTATTGTGTGTGTGTGTGTGTGTCCAGCTCAGCCCACCAGGGGGCGAGGCTGGCTGGCATGTGGTGCTGGGGGATCGAACCGTGGTCCCTGTGCTTTGCCAAGCTTGTTCCAAGTAGGTACTTTAGACCACTGAGCCAACTCGCCAGCCCGAAATATTACTGTTTTTTTTGGAACCGGGACTTGAACTCAGACCCTTGCGCTTGCCAGGGAAGCACTTATTCTACTGAGCCATCTCTCCGGCCCTTTTTTTTTTTTTTTTTTTTGCAGAACCGGGGATTGAACTCAGGCCCTTGCGCTTGCCAGGGAAGCACTTATTCCACTGAGCCATCTCCCCAGCCCTACACTCTAATCTATACCCTCAACCAAACCAGGACAAGCTAAGACTACAAGGCAAAGAAAGAAGAACCTTGATAGAACTTAACAAGTGTCCATGAAATTATGACAACAGAAAGAGGAGCTAGTGTAACAACACAAATTCTTCTCTGGGGCAAGCAAAACGGTCAAGGGGTGCTGGGGATATAGCTCAGCTGCACAGTGCCTGTCAGGTAAGCATAAGGTTTTGTTTTGTTTTTTTAACCATGAGGTTTTGAGTTCAGATTCCCAGTACAAAAAAAATTAGATTAGCTGAGTGCAAGCCTATATATATGTAATCCTAGCACTCGGGAAGCTAAAGCAGGATTGATAAGAAACTCAAGGCCAGCCTGGGATATACAATTAGTTCAAGAGTAGCTTGAACTGTACAGCAAGACCCTCTCTCAAAAACTAAAAAAGGGGGCCAGCAGGATAGCTCAGCAGCCCAAAGCTCCTGCTTAGGCAGGTGCAGGGGAAGAGGTTCCATCCAGAACAGAACCACAAGCTGTGGGGGCTTGCCCAAAAGCTCAGCTGTTTAAGTGACTGATTAAACAAAGCAATCAGGATGCTGTGGTTGATCCCCAGATCCTCAAGCCTTACCAGACCTGCCCTGAAAGCATCCTGAGCCAGACCAAAAAAAAAAATAAAAATAAAAATAAACCCACTTCAGAACCACATGCTGTGCCAGCCCTCCAGCCCTGCCCCCAGGAGGCTATGAGGCTCTAAATGGGGGCCAGGCAGATGGCTCAGTGAATGAGTGCTTCCTGGGCATGAGTTCAATCCCCAGTTCCGCAAAAAAAAAAAAAAGGTCTAAATGTAAAAGTCCTCTTATAACAAGAAATGAGAATTTTTTTCTTTGATAAATGGAATTTTCCAATAAAATAACTAAGAACAAGTATACTACAAAGATAATTGCGGGTATTATCTCCACACACAAGGAAGTATACCTTCTCCAGAATCTATTTTGACCCAGGAGCTATGTAACTATCCTTGTCATCAATAATTACCACTTAATTGACAATAGTCACCTGCTCTAAAGACCTTGTCCTAAGAGGCAGACCATTTATTTATTTTTCATTTTATTTATTTATTTGTATTTTAGGGAAGGATCTACTTGGTGTTCAGTCTCACTACTAGATAGGACACATAGTGATCCAACTGTTTACAGCCTCCCAAGAGCCGAGATTGCAGGGCCAGCACAGCCAGCACCTGCAAGTGGACAGACTATTTTATAGTGAAACATAACAAATTAAACCTATACAATCACTCTTACCTTTGTAGTCAGACAGGCTGATATCTTTGAACTGACCATCTGGCATAACAGCTGTGGCTTTAAAGTTGGGGGCAGGGTGCCCGATTTTGGCACTTCCAGAAGACATCTTGCTATCAGCTGAAAAAATTGAAATTAGAAATTAATTTTTCTAGAGATTCAAAAGCCTTTACCTACTTAAAACTTAGTGACAGATAAAGTAAGTACCATAGGTGGTGGTGCATGTCAGTAATACTAGCAGGAGGACTAGGAAGGAAGAGTACTTCGGAGGTTAGCCTGGGATGCAGAGTTTATTTAAAGCCATTCTGGGCCGGGGAGATGGCTCAGTGGAATGTGCGGCTTCCCTGGCAAGCGCAAGGTCCTCAGTTCAATCTCCAGTTCCGCCACAAAAATAAATAAATAAATAAATAAAGCCATTCTGAACTACACAGTGATGCTGTCTCAACCAAAAAAAAAAAAAAAAATAGTGGGCAAGGATGTAGCTCCATGGTACAGGACCCACCTAGCAAGCACAAAGGCCCGGAGTTTGACTCTTTATGAAGAAAAAGAAAAACCCAGCAAGTGAATACCTAAGTTTCACATTAGTAAAAGACAGGTTGACAGTTAAGGGTCACAATCACGTATTCAAACTTTTCCACCAGATAGAAACAAAAGGGAAGGAAGTAGAGTCAAACCATGACCCAAATGGCACAATGCCACCCACACCGAATGTTTAGCTCCCCTAGACAAGTCATGTTATCCTTTCACTGAACTCTGCCTACATCTGTTTTGTAACATGGGATGCACACTTGACCTACCAGGTAGTCTCATCCAAGAAAGGACTATGTAAAGCCACCCCAACTTTTTTACTTTTTTTTTTTTTTTTTTTTTTTAACCAGAACCGGGGATTGAACTCAGGCCTTTGAGCTTGCCAGGGAAGCACTTATTCCACTGAGCCATCTACCCGTACCCGACCCCAACTTTTTCAAATGGCAAAGCCAATTACCTCGGCATCTACTCATTTTCACAACTTCACGTGTTGTATTCAGGCCAAAAGAGCTTTCAAAAACAGGTTTCTAGCCAAACGCGGTGTACACCTATAATTCCAGCACTTGGGAAGAAGGATCCTTTGTGAGTTCAAGGCCAGTCTTAACTGCACAGTGAGATGTCGTCTCAAAATACCAAATAAAAAATGTCTGGGAGAGCTCAAAAAAAAAAAAGAAAAAAAAAAAACTCCCAAAGTTAATCTGTTGCTAAGAAATAGCACTAGATTCACCCAGATCAACAAAGGTTTAAAACACCACACTGGTGGAGATGTGTAGCCCGGTAGTACATTACCTGCCTAACAAGCATAAAGCCCTGAGTTCAATTCTTAAGTACCAAATGAGACAGTAAATAAAAAATTTTGTTATTAGAGAAAGTAAGTAAAAAATAAAATCAGATAATCTGGCAAATTTTGGTCTGAAAGCCAAGCTTCTAACTCCCAAAGTTCTTGGTCACCATATAACCAGAAGAATTTTTAGGAGCAATCATCGAGAATTTTTATACCATTTTAAAAATAATCTAGGCCAACTGTAGTGGTGCATGCCTGCTACCCCAGCACTCTAGGAGGCTGACATAACAGTATTCAAAGTTCGAACACAGTCCGGGCAATTGGGCAAGATGGTGGCCCAAAACTAAAAATATTTTTAAAAGCTCTGTGTAAGGGACTGTGTAAGCTCTGTGTAAGGGTCCAACTCAATTCAAAACACTTTCCTGCTTTTTTATTTTCGACAGTGTCTTACTATGCAGTTCAGGTTAGCCTTAAGTTCACTTTTTAGTCCAGGCCGGTCTCTAATTCACAACGATCCTCCAATCCTGTCTCAGCCTCCCGAATGCCAACTGCAGTTGTGCACCACCACACTCGGCTGTTTCAATTTTTTAACACTTTAACAAAAATGAAGAATACGGCATCCTGTAGTTTATCGATAAACTATAGTGTGTTCCTATCATAAAGGGAATCCTTATAACCCACTTTACAAAGTGGCCACCGCGTCCGATGCCTCAACCACTCCCGGGAAAGTCGAGCTTCCGCCCGGAGCCGGACCCCTCCCTGCCAAGAACCTGGCTTTGGCGCGCTTCCCGAGCCCCCTTCTGGTACTTTTCTGCCAAGCACATCAGGCTCCTCGGCATTCAAGGAAAGCCCTGGCGGACCACACTACGAATGTGAAGTCAGATGGAACCCACAGGCAAAAAGGACGGTGGTCCCGTAGACTCCATCACCACCAGCCCGCTCCGCCGCGCCAATCAACGCCCTTTGCTTGGGCAGCAGACGAAGGCGAAACTCGACGTCCGCCTCAGAACTCCCCTCCGCCGGCACACTAGTGCGGCACGCTCAAGAGAGCGAACCACGCGCTGCGTCACGTCCCAGCAGCGTCGGAACAAGAGGAGGAAAAGGGAACCTGCGGAACGTGACGACCCCCGGCTACCTGGCTTCAACAAGGGGGCGAGGCCCGCACACGCACCAGTTCCGACGCCGGGATCTTCCAACCGCAAACCACCAACACAGAGAGGAAGAAGACACGCGAAGCGTGCGCGGGGCGCGGATTTTATAGACGGCTCGGCTCTCGCGAGATTCAGAGGGGCGGGGGACGCGGGAGGAGGCAGAGGAGGGGGACAGGGCAGAGCCCCGCCCTCCCCAGAGGCCGGGCGAGATGACTCAGGACTTTTTCTAGGTGGGAGCAGGAGTGGGCCTAGAAAGTACCCGTGGTCTCCACGCCGTCACCCCTGCCTGAGGTCCGAGAGTGCCGTGCCCCGTTGCCCGCCCCGTCCTTTAATCAGGGGGTGTCTGCAGGGGCTTGAGACTGCACGCGCTAGTCTCCTCCTTATAGTTTTCAAGTCCTCCCTGTCCCTCAGTCACCTCTTCCAGCAGCCTCCATTGTTCTCTGGAGAACAGGGACGCTTCTGTCGCCCCACAGGCCGTCCCTTAAGTCTCTGAATCTGATCTTGTCACTTCTCTAATGCGTGATTTTTAAAACTGGGCTCTGTAGTCAATTCCCTGAGTTATAGTTCTTCACTGTCATTTTGTATGTTTAGGTAGATGGAGGGGCGGAAATAGGATTAACTGACGATTTATTGATTTATCTGCGGGGTGGGGGCACAGTGGAAGGAGTGCAAAGCCCGCCATTTTTCCAAGGGACCGCGATTCGGGATGTATTTTATCCTGCTGCCATTAGGGATGAAGCTCTTCTGGGTCACGATCTCTTCAAATTAATCTGCATTGAACTTGGTGAAACCCCACTTGGAGATGTGGATCTTCTGGCAGCCAGGAAACTTCAGTTTGGCCCTGCTTAGGGCCTCATTCACTTGTACCTTGTCCTTCAGCTTAGGGTGGCTGCCCATGTGAACCATGGCCACTGTGCCCTGGGGCTTCCCAAAGGTACCCCAAGGACCATCTGCAGCCTGTCAGCCCTAGAACAGGACAAGGTTCTGTTGGTGGAGCCGCACCCAGCAGCTTTTACTGGCAGAAATCCAAGAGGCCTGAGGAGCTTCAGGAGCTTCAGAACAGAGCTGCACAGAGTGGTCAGACACCTTGTGGTCACAGAGTGGCAATATACCACTTGTGGTAAATTCTTCCACACCAGGTCAAGAGATGCGGATTTTGGCATCAAGGATGCCTGGCCAGAAGCAGGACTTCGGGTATCGCTTGTTTTGTTGTTGTTGTTTTGAGGAACCAGGGATTGAACTCAGGCTCCTGCACTTGCCAGGCAAGTGCTTATTCCACTGAGCTATCTCCCCGGCCCCTGGCTTGTTCTTACAATACCAGTAACATCGGGCAGAGAGCCAACTCGTGGCAACATTAAGGATCGCCAAAGGCAAAGATATTCAGACACATTTTAACCTTGTTAAATCTGAATTTTCTCACCTGTAAATTAGGAATAATTATTACTGTTCATTGAAATATGAAATTATTTGGCACAGACCCAGGTTATTTTACACATTAGAAATGTTACAAATTACTACCGTTGTAGGCAGCTAAATTTCATAGAAATATTACAGGTAGTCAGATAGGGGTAGGCTCTCTAAGGAGACAGTACAAAAGACAAAATAATGAGCCAGGGAGATGGCTCAGTAGAATAAGCGCTTCCCTGGAAAGCGCAAGGGTCTGAGTTCAGTCCCCCCTTCCGCAAAACAAACAAACAAACCTGGCAACTGTGGGGAAAAACAGGCACTTCTGCTGAGGGCAGGACCTCAAGACAAAAGATGAAACAAATGCACACCATCAGGGATTGATATTCTAAATAGGTATCCATTACCTTAAAAAACCAGGAAGAGCCACTAATCTAACCACCACCAGAAAAACCCTTCTTCCTTATTCATGCCGGATCAGTACGTGACTGGCTTCCTCATTTGATTCTGATTGAATCAATTTTACCTGAACTTTTTTTTAAAATGTAATGGGGGGAGGCGGGGAGATGGCTTAGTAAGCGCAAGAGCCTGAGTTCAATCCCCAGTTCCACCAAAAATAAATAAATAAAATGTATTTGGGACGGGTTCATTACTGGAGGTCGGACTAACAATGATCCTCCTGCTTTCAGCCTCCCCAGTACTGGGATTATAGGCGTGTACCACAATGGCCAGACTCCGTGGCCCAAACAGTGCATCCAGGGGTGGGGCTGCACCTCCCCCCATGTGATTACCTAGACAATTATACACATAATCTTATTAGTTGAACATAGTTCTATCCCACCTCATGCCCACCTTGAGACTTCCCATTTTTCCCTAACTTGGATCCACCTCAGGTCATGGTTTTGCTCTATAAAAATTCCCTTTAGGGGCCGGGGAGATGGCTCAGTGGAATAAGTGCTTCCCTGGCAAGTGCAAGGACCTGAGTTCAATCCCCGGTTCCACCAAAAAAAAAATAAATAAAAATTCCCTTTAAAAGGCAGGTTCCTCTGAGTTCAATCCCCGGTACCTCAAAAAAAAAAAAAAAACGCAGGTTCCTTAGCAACCCATTCTAGACCACTTAATGCATGATTAGAGGGTTTGGAGTGCCTCAGGCTGGACAGAGAAAGACACTCAGAGTTCACCACTATTCATTGGGTATATACTGTAAACCAAGGGATTATCAGATGACTCAGAGGATGGCAGTGACTTCATGCTAATGAGGATCTTTATATTGATAAGGACAATGCCAGAGAGTTGCAGGTTAAAGAGTTTATCCTTCCCCCAAGGTGATTTTTTTTTTTGAGACAGGGTCTTACTATGCAGCTCAGGCTGGCCTTGTGCTCACTTTGCAGTCCATGCTGGTCTTGAACTCGCAGGGATCTTCCTGCCTCGGTCTCCAGAGTACTGAGATTACAGGCATGCACCACCATGCCAAGCTGAAACTTTTTATTACTATTGGGTTCTCAAAGACCCAGGATGTCTAAAGCTGGTAGTCTTGCCCTGGGGCATCACAGCAGGGGGCTTGGGGGGGACACTTGAGGCCTTACCTGTGACCAGAGGCACCGGGAATTGTGTTCCTGAATACCATAGCCTGCCTACCTGGCAAGATAATAGACCTTGGGCAAGCCCTAATCACAATTTAATTATGAAATGAGTTTTTTCTCAACAATTATATAGAATGGTCCTGTTTTAGGCAGCTAAATTAGATAGAAGTTTTGTAGGGAAGTCAGATAGGGGCAGGCCCTCCAGGGAGCCAGTGCAGAAGATGAGATGCCTTACAACTATGGAAGAGACAGGCCTGGGCCACACCTAAACATAAGTGCGACCCACCCACACACCTCCCTAGGGATAGACATCAGGGATTGATATTCTAAATAGGTATCCATCACCTTGAAAAGGCCAGGAAGAGGGGCTGGAGAGATGGCTCAGTGGTCTAAAGCACCTACTTGGAACAAGCTTGGTAAAGCACAGGGACTGCGGTTCGATCCCCCAGCACCACATGCCAGCCAGCCCCGCCCCCTGGTGGGCTGAGCTGGCCACACACACACACACACACACACACA